AGGGGCCGTTCAAAAAGTACGTACACAAAAATGGAGAAATTTTAAACCCCTCCCCCCCCCCTTCGTACATTACCGTACATAAGGTCTTACTCCCCCCCTTAGAGTACGTACATTTTATTAGTCTACCCCCCTTTTTCATAAAAATTAAAATAATTATGTTTTAAATAAAATTAAATATTTACTTAAGGAGTGTGTAGGATAAAGTCAAATTTAAATTTGGTGTATGTTTATAAAGTACGTACTTTGTATAATACCTCCCCCCCTCCCCATCGTACAAAACCGTACATAATAGCAAATCCCCTCCCCCCTTTCGGGATGTACGTACTTTTTGAACGGCCCCTAATGACAACTGAATAAAACAAAATCAGGGGTCTGTCCAGGCCGAATTTACTACCGTTTAGCGGTACCTTCACAAATTCAATTTTAGGTGAAACGGTAGTTTCACAAATTCAACTTTAGGAAAAACGGTAGTTTCACAAAATACTTTTTCTTAAAATTTTATTTTTGTATCCTTTAAGAAACGATAAATCTATATTTTTACCCTGTTTTTGTATTGATTTTGTAAAATAATTTTGAATTTTTCACAAATTATGTCTAAATTTTCACAAAATAGGTACCTTTCAGAAAAACCTAGACAGACCCCTGAAAATCATAGTATTCGATGGTTTTTGTATATGATTGATTGTGACCGTAAAAATGTGTTCACATCTGTTGAGCATTGAACAATCCCTCTTTAGGTTAATAGGACATTTTAATTAATTTTTATTGTTTGAAAGAAACAAAGCCTTATTTGGTACTTTTGGAAACGAAACTTTACTAGCAATATACATGTAAGACGTACATACAGAGACATACATGTAAGACGTACATACAGAGACATACATGTTTCTTCATGTAAGACGTTAAAATTTTTTATGTGCTAATGTAAGATGGACAAATACCTTGTAAAGACAAAAGCTTCTATGATGATGCACCAAAAATATTCAATGCTTTAAAAAATAGAAGACGTTAGAAATGTATTATAATTAAAAAAAAATTTTTTTTTCAAGAGTTTTTGTGTTTTTTTAGTTTTTGAAATCTCACCCTGTTTTTGAGAAAGGGTGAGAAATTCTCACCCATTTTTTTTCTGTGATGAAAACACTGCCAATAAGAAAATATTCCTGCCTAAAAGTTTTTTTCTTCAAAATCTGGGTATATTTCAAGGATGAGATTTTTCTTCCTTTTAGTTACCATTTCACATAGCTACTTACTCTTCTGCATTTTAGAATTCCGTTCACTAAATTTTTCCTTTTCTTTATAAAATTGTTCAAATGTGTGTTATATCATATTCAAAAATATTGTATTAATATATCCTTTTTGCTTTCTGACCACTGTCATTCCTGCTATTTTAATAATTTAGTTCATATTCTTCATTTAAGTTTAACTATCTCTGTGATTTATTCATTTTTTTTTTTTTTTTTTTAAAGTTTTATTTGTTATTGCTCCATTGTCAGGAAAACTTGGCATTTAGGTGCAGGTCATAATGCAAAAATTTTCCTGATTGCTGGATATATTTGCTTTTAAGAAAAATTTATAAAAAGAGTTGGAAATATCAAATAATGACATTCTTTAGTCATAGGTGGTTTAGTTGAATACTTTTAAAGCTTGAACAATAGAATTTATTGATTATTATTCTTTTAATTGAAGTATAAGGTCTGCAATGCACCTTGTATTTTTACTAGCTTTTACTACTTGCTATAAACATTCTTTTTAAATAGTATTTCACCTTATATACTTAGTAGTTGTTTATCTGCCTTTAAAGGCAGATAAACACCTGTAATAAAACAATATTGGAGTATCAGTAACTGATTTTTTTTTGTATTTTTAGGTTAACTAAGAAGGAAAGAGATTTTGCATCTGCTGAAAAGACTATTAATAGTTTGGATCATCAAAATCAAGATCTTCAAAATAAAGTCAACCATCTTCAGTCCGATCATAAAAAATTGGAAGAGAACTTTAAGGTAAATCAATGCATAATCAATATCTTAATTTTCTTAAAAAGTCTAATTTAGTCTTAGCGAATAATGATTCTAAGATAAATACCATGATAGGTAGTAATGTTTAGTTATTTGTATAATATATTAAATAGCTCCTGTATAAGTCCATCCCATATTATTGATTATAATAAATTTATGGTATGTAATGTGTATAAAAGGGGTGCCAAAATAGCCAATCAGGAAATTCCAACGTAAAAAAGATCATACAAAAGAATTATTAAATCTACAACATTTTAAAATATTTCACATTCTTCTCCGAACTCTGAATGTGATACATTGTCCCTTAAATAAAGATGCTGTGAGGCATGATGTAGAACTTTGCAGATAAGGATGAAGTAGAATCTAGCTGCCAACTCTACTGTATTTTGCCAGTTTCTCATGGTCTACTGGTTTAATTAAAATCCTCCTGGTTTTTGTACATTTTGGAAGTTGAGTATGTTTCCTAAAAAAATTCGTATTGAAGTAGAATTTTTGTACAGATTATGGCTTTTTTGAATATTTAAATAAGTATTAGTAATACATAATGAAGCGAATGTCATTTGTAGATATCAGTTCAAAGCTTTTTTTGAGCTAAAGTTATAAATTTATTTTTATTCAGAACTCTTTTTAAATTAATAAAAAAACCCTTTTAACTATGTTGCAGAATGATTCAGTTGTGAATGGGTGCATTGAATAAATAAACCATATTTAAAAACAAACTTTAATAAGCAATATGATGGTATGAAATAGGGCTTTCACATACGCCATCCAGTTCAATCCATTGCCTGCCACATTAGCGA